TTTTATCAGTTCCTGGACTGAAATCCAATACACATACATATACGTGTGTGTGTATATATTTATATGTATATATATATAAAAGCAATAATTTTTTTTTTTGAAGACAGAAATTACTGAACTTCTGTTGATGCTCTCTGTAGCACATTGTTAGTGTGATTTGTCTCTCTTGGACCAAATGTAAGCTCCTTATTCTTTTAATTCTGTGTATTGCAGTACACTTAACCTGTGTGCTTCTTGTTTATGGAGTAGCTGCACACTGAGTTAAGTAAACTTGGAATCTGAAATATGCTGCCTGTCCTTTCCCCTCTGGTCTGATGATTGTTGATTATAATCTTCCTTCTTACCCAGCTTCTGCCATAAAAATTCTCCAGCCAGAACTATCAGAAACTCTAGGAGTTTCCCAGGAGATAAGTGACCTTTTTTCCAAATTCCCTGTTTCTCCTCCCATAACAAGCAGGACGGTATATTTTTTTCACCCTTTCCTTAGCCTGTTTAACTATGAGTTAGCCTTACACTGTTTTTTTGTGCACCTTTCATTGTTTTGCCCACTTGCAGAGAACATAAAGGGAGTCTTAATATCCTCTCTTAGAATTCAACAGTTTTTTAATTCTAAGCTATTTGCTATCTGGGCAAGATTAAAAAAAAAAAAGTCAAAACTGCAGTTTTGGTATTTGTAGTGGGAAAATTAATATATAATTTTAACAGCAGTTTTAAGTTTGCTCATGGGAAAATCGTATAAGAGGACCCATTTTCTACTAACTTTTCAAAAACTCAACTGCTGGATATCCTGATACGTTCTATAAATTGGTTTAATATCATTTACTTTGATCATTTACTTTCAACTTATAAGTTGAAGTTTTTTCCCTCTGAATAACTTTGAAGTTTATTATTGGACTATATTAAAATAATATCCTCAAACTATGTCCTCAAACTATGATTCTAAATAAACCTTTTGTTAATTTTATCATAGGGTATATTGGTAGGACATTTTAAAGCTAGTTTAAAAATACAACTTGTCTACCTTGATCCTTTTCACTTAGTTTTATCTCAATATTTGGGTTCAAAACCAGAAATTCACTATAGTAGTTGGTATTCAGAATATATATAAGATTTCTGGATTAGCCTGAATGTAAAGAACCTGTTTTGAAAAATTATAATTTCATTTTGCATACAGACTAATGACCAGAAGATTTGTCATTCTCTTTTCTTCTGAATTTCTGACCTGTCTTCACAGGTTGGTACTTCACGACTTTCTTGAATGAGTGCAAAAAGCATCTATTAATTGCTTTTTCCAACTGCTGTTTTATTTATTGCAAGTTGTTTATTCTTCCCAACTCTAGCACTTCTGTGTCAAGAAAGATTTCTGGTACTTATCAATGTTGGTTATTTGGAAGTTTTTCATCATTATTAAAAGGAACAATTGGGAACTTCTTATGGTTGAATCTGAATCTATAGTGTTGGATTCTCCGGCTTAAATACCAACACTGAATTAAACAGAGAAAGAAGAACATGGATTCCTTATTACATTGCAGCACAGGCTTTTAGTCTGTAACATATGTCCAAAAAAAAAAAAATCAGTTGTTATTCAATTTCTGAGTACTCAATGTGGCAAAGTTCATCCTTATAGGTGATGCATCTCTTCTATCATTAGGCAAATCGTTTTAACCTATGGCAGGTTTCTCTTTTTAACTAAAATCTATGCGATACAGTCAGAAATAAGATACCTTAATGGCAAATAAAGATTTCCTTGCTCTCCACTACTTTCACATTTCATTTCATGAGCTGTCATGTCTCAGGGCTAAGGTTTCTAAGCCCTCCTGTGTCTCTGTGAATTTTTGATACTTACCTGGGTGCTGCCACATGTTTTTGTCTTCGTTCTTAACAGGTTTGCAGGGGAAACATTCTCTGTTGCAATAGGTCTGCACTCACTGTGTTTTTAAGGACACAAAATGTACACTGAAAGCTCTCGGTAGACTTACTGTTATATGTTTTACAAAATGATTGTAGTAGAGAATAGACTTTCCATAGTTGCCTTGTATTTATTGGCACTTTTTTGTTTCATACGTCCTCCCGTCTGTTCCGCTTTGAGAGTTGCATACAAGAGATTGTGTTATGTAGATATCATATATTACATTATGCCCAGATGTATTCTGTCACCATTTCAGATTTTCCATTAAGAATAGCCTCTTTGTTTGCTAGCTGTTTTCTTTCATAGTGTTTACTGTTCTTTGTGTCACATGTGAAATTAAAATAATGCTTAATGCAGGGTGGGAGGAAGCTGTGTTCAGGGTATTTTTTTTCAGGCTATGTAGTACTTCTAGAATTATCTCTATATGCTTTAAATGAGATATACCATGTAGTAGTGTCAGGCTGCTTCAGGTACAGTTCATGTTTTATGGTATATGTAAAGAAAATCACTAGTTCTGAATTACATGTCTTTCAAGCTGACTAACCCAAAGCTGCTGGATTTTGCAGCCTGTCCCCAGGGGCTGGGAGGCATCCAAACGGAGGCCACCACATTCCCCGTATTATGGAGAGGAAAGGTTCAATTCCCAAGGGGAATTTAGGGATCTAAGCAAAGATGGAAGAAGAAGCTCAAGACATAGGATGTCCTGGGCTCTGTCTTGTAAAAGAAAATAATAATTTTGTATAAACATGAGGAAAATCACTTGTGGGATTTCAGCTATTACTGGGATTCCTGATCAGAGCAAGCTTCATGCTCCAAGCAGCAGAGAATCGAGGATGCATCAGTGTTTCTGCTCGTTTTGCCCCTCTCGATCATGAGTGTGTGCTAAGGACTCTGACCTGGCAGCGGGACGTGCAGAGCAAGAGCCCTGCTCCGCTGTGCGTTTCTGACATTGGGTTACTGTTTACTTTTGCGTGCGTCCATGGCAATGGTTGTATCCAGTTGCCTATAGCATGTGGCAGGGAAAGTCTGCATTAACATATATATGTTTATATGGTATATAAGTTGTATTTGAAAGTTCGTGACAGAAATAAATAAACAGAGCTAAGTGAGAGATCACACAGCTTTTGTCACCAAAATTATGCTGTTTGGAGTACTAGTTTTTAATGCATTTTTGTGTGTGTGTGTGCTGGCAAGAAAGCACCGTGCTGATAGTTGGAAGCACGAGGTACAGTTAGTTACATTTTTGAGATATTGCAGACTTTGTTCCTCAGGATAGGAATATGAATTTACTCTCAAGAAAGAAGTCAAATATGGCTTTCCTATTCATTCAGCCCTTATGGGAATTGCTGACTTCCTAGTGAGGTGGACAGGCCGCATAAGCCAGGCACAGACAAAGTGCTTTGATATTTTTGTCCTTTGGGCGTGATGTAATTGTTGCAAAATTAGAGGTTTTGTTGCGAGTGTGAAAAAATTTCACTAGCCAAAAGGCTCCACCTTTTCTTCATCCTCCATAATAGGAAAATTGCACATCTTTGTGGAATCTGGTCTCATTTTGGAGTGTATAGGCAAAATGTTGTCTTACAAATATGGAGCAATCACACTCTGATGGGAAACGAAGGCCAGAGCTGCACAACAACTCCATGGGGTACTTCATATGCATATCATAAATCAGCGTGGTCCACACTTCTGCCATGTGATGGATCAGATCCGTCACATCAATTTATTCCTCCCAAAGGATAGAGAAAATTGCTGCTCGTGGGGTGGTGATGGTGCCAGTTTTGGACTGCATAGGTAGAGGACAGTCCTCTGTAGAGGGCAGCCCAGCCTGCCACTTCCAAAGAGTTTTAAGCTAAGAAACAGTGGTGACGTTTCCCAGAAGAAATGAGCTTTTTCAGGGAGGCAAAACAAAGGAAAAATGACGTGGGACCCAAGGCAGGATGAGACAGAAGAAGTAATGGGCTGCACTGCATGGTTGTTGGGTGAGCTGTTCATCAAGGCCAGCTCATGTCTGATGACAAATTTTTGCACTCTTCTGGCCCAGGTGAAGTTTGAGCAGGCTGCTTTTACACATTTTCACCAATGGTATTGTTGGTACAAAGCACAGAAGAGTATTGAAATAACACTGAAAAATATAAAGGGGCACTGTAAACTTGTGAAATCATTATTTAGTTAAGAAAAGGCTGATTAAGATTTTGGGTATGCTAGCGTTGCTCTGGAGTGATGGTCCTGCAGATTACATTTTATATTCTTTTCAGTAAATCATGCAATAGTGGATCCTAGTGCAGAGGCTGAAATGTGCTGGAGGAAGCACACAATGTGCTGGATATCACCCCTGAGAGCACTCTTGCTAGGAGGGCCCTTTTCAGCACTCAGGCAGTTATGATATATAGACCAGCTCCATATTATTTACCAGAGCTTTGGGGAGGATGTGTTGAACCACTGGACCTTTAGGCTTCTGCTTTTATCCCAAAATATTTATGCTGCAGTAAGGAGAGCAGAACCTAGTCCAATAACTGAACTGAACAATGAATTCAAATGTATGTTGGAAGAAGAATTTGGCATTGACTGAACAAGGAGAGAAGGAAAAGAAGTTATACCCTTGATTATTTTTCATGCTGTTTATCTAACTCATAGTTCAAAATTTTGCGGTGTTTTAATTAAGTCTTGGCAAGTTCTCTTGTGCTGTTCACTACAGGAAATGAAGAATGGGAGAAACAAGTGGGAAAAGAGAACAAACTTTTTGCCTCATTGTGCTGAATGCAATTAGATGCCAAAAATGCATGAAGACAAGTGCTTTAATACATTTTAATAGATTCATCTGTCAAAAAATCCCTTACTACTAGTGTATGATTTTTAAATTAATCTATTTTTCATTCTCTAATGAGCTATTTACAAGGTGCCTCATTAGTACTTCTAGGGTAGTGTAAAGTATAATGAGAGATTTGGAGGAGTAAGCTACACTTGGGGAGCTAAACCGTTTCAGATTTAAAATGTTTTGTTTTCTTTCTCCTTTCATAACAGAATGTTTCCTAAATATTCAATGGGGACAGCTAGACATCTGCTTATACAATCCAAATCTGTCTTTTTGCAGAGAAGATTACCATGAAGATGGGTTCTGTCAGCCATACCGGGGAATTGCATGTGCCCGAATCATTGGAAACAGGACTATATATGTGGATTCCCTCCAGATGCAGGGGGAAATTGAAAACCGAATTACTGGTAAGATTATGTACCTTTGTAGTGGGACAGTAAGTGTTTATGAAAGGATCCAATTCAAACACAAGTGTGTTATCATCCTTTTGAGTTTTATCAGTTAATAACTGATATATAGAGAGAGACAGTTGGGGATCCAGTTTTCCTCTTCTGCAGTTAGAAACCTTGGAGAAACCTTGGAGAAAGCAGGGTAAAAGTGGCTGTCGTGCATAAAAGAATTTTCCGTCTCAAGTGAAATGTCAGTTTCTTGACTTTTTAACAGCTTGTTATTTGCATTGGAGCTTTTGGTATGATACATTCAAACTGAAGAATTTTAAAAAATCTTCTTAAAAATCAAGTGCATTCTGATGTAATGAAAATGATTGTGTTTAATTCTGTTGAAATAACTGTGGTAATTGTTCCCTTGGGTTTCTCTCCCCTACTGCGTAGTCCCAGCAGAGTCTAGATTCCATATTGACTTACATAAAATAAAAGCTGACCTTCTAGTGCTCTGCCACTGGAGATTCTTTCTCTGATCATCATTTCTATACACGCTTGCAAATACATATCCAAGGCCTTGATGACTTTTAACGGGTTGTAAATCAGCAAAGGTTTTCTTCGGCAGGCCTCGTCAGAGTGATCACTGGCATTAGCAGCTGTGATTTGGATGCACACAACTAGAGCAAATGAATGAGTCCATGAAATAGAGTGAATTGTTTATAGTAATATATTAATTCAGTTGAGGAGGAGCTTATTCAGATCTGGACAGATGTGGCTAACTAATTGAATCTATTATTTAAACACAAACAGTTGCCAAGAAAGCTTGACTTTGCACCTCGACTCTAAAGAATTTACTTAAAAGACTCAATTCAGAAACTCAGTTTGCTTTTTTGTTTTCCTATGGCTAATATGAGGATATGGTGATCAGATCAGATACTGGGTTTCTCTAAGATTTCCATGACTCCTTCCCCTCCTTCCTATCTCCTGCACTCTGTTATAATTCACACCTCTTGTATTATTCTATCATTAACTAATTCATACTTTTACGTATTTGATATCTTGACCACTGTGACATGATTTCTGTGCTGTTTAGATGGTTCTTCAGAAATGACTAAACTCAGAATCCTATAAATTAGGTTCATAATGCCATTTTCAAAAAAAGGAAAAAAAAAAATTGTCTTCTAGAAAATGTTTTTCCATCAATTTTATTTTCGCCCTGATTGTACAGTATGGGCATTCACGATTAGACAGTTTCCCTAATACCACACATTATTGGTTATATTATGGAGGTTGGGGGCTGGCGTCATGAATAATTTCTTATTGAAC